CATCGTGATTTGTGAAAATAAAGGACGACTCACTGCCCGCTAATGCGTATTACCAGGGCAAAGATGGGGTTATACGCAATAACGAGCGAGACGCATTCGAGCTCAAGTACTTTTCTAAACAGCTTCGTCCGAGGCCCTGTGGATGCGATCACGTGGTCATTTAACGGTTACTATAACATACCACAGAACCGAGCGCTGATGTTTCCTACGCTTATCTAGGATCTAATGTTTGACCCTATTGACAACTTGGACTTAAATTTCAAAGTACAAAAACCGTATTGCATCCTTTCTCCGTACAGATTTCGTATAATTTCCTTGACAATTTGTAATTAGAAAACAAAAATGTCCGCTATTGTAATATCTTACCAACACACGTCCGAAATATATATGGGAAAAATTGTGTCATGAAAAACAATAAAAGTCAAAATTAAATGACGCCAAGATGTCTACTCACCCATCCACATGCAAATACAATACCAGCAAGTCCTGCTATCATTAATCCATTCCCATTGGCATACACCTCTGTTTTACCAGCACCAGCAGTTATATTTCTCACCACTAGAGGTCGCTGTTGAACCAGAAGTCGTTGACCTGAGTAACCAAAATGAAATCGTGACCCAATTGTTAAAGCGAGGGAGTCACCAAAAACGCATGCGACAGACGGCCCTGGCGTGTCGTTGTTTACAATCAAGTGCCCACCCATGAGCCTTTGCATTATTAGAATGCGTTGTTATCATCGCTTGGGACTCAATCCCGTGCGTGCGCAGGTGACAACCCCTCCGCTTTAAACCACTGCCTTGAGCCGGATACATAGAGTTTCTAAATTTCCACTAAAAGCACAATGAAGGAACGATACAATTATGTGAATATGTTTTGCCTATTCTTGAACATTTTATTCCATGTTGAGGAAATTGAGGATCGGTAACGAAATATTATATTAATTTTGTATTATGTTTATAAGTAGATTTCAATATAATGGGCAAAGTCAAGGTAAACTCTCGTTACAGCGTTAATGGCCTCTGTCTTGCTCTTAGTTGTTTCTAAGTTGTAAAGAAAATATCACCGCGACAACAGAGAATACAGTTTTTATTAGAAAGCACGCCGGCGGCCTTTACTTGTGTCCTATATATAGTGACAATGTTCGCGCAATACTAAATCACTGATGTAGAAACATTTACTGAGACTAATCAAACTCGTAGAATAATATTCTCGGTATTCCGCCATTTCCGTCGCGTCTGATAAATGTCGTTATTCACCCGGGATCCCTAGCTGAGAACTACGAGAAAAATCAATTTCAATTAATCCGCCTAGAACCCAATTTGAAACCAAATGTGATATTAAATTAAGTACTTACCATGTCTCGCTCCACTTCTAGAAATAACAGAATACATATTTTGTGTGACAAATCCGAAGGAACTGAAAAAATCAATCAACGTAATTCGCTTTGCCAAGTGTACACGATTGTATCTACGTGCTGAATGACTGTACTTAGGTAATAATGCCAAGTAAAACGTATGTAAGGTCACGTGGTAAATATGGATGACGTCACGAAAAACACTCACGTAGTACCTTCACTAGTATGCTAACCGCACATGTTGTATGTTTCCACTGGAATAGCGTCAGAGAAAAACGTGAATGTTATACTAGCTTTGCGCTTTGCGATAGAGAGAAATTGTTATCTCCATGGTCAGCCGAACAGGGTCGCGAACGGAGAGGATGATTTTGGGTTTCTATAGGTTGACCCTTGACCCGGAAATATCACCTTGCATTACACTCTCCTCGAGTATGTCCCAGTTCAGTTATTGGTTATTTTCATATGTAATGAGGCGTTAACATGACGTTTTCAAACACAGGTAATGTTCTCGTTGGACTTGAATCTCTAAAAAATTATTGTGATTTATGATAGCTTGGGGTTCGTTAAATTCACGTCAAACTAATGAACTGAACTCATGTATGAAATATCGGCCACGATAGACAATAAGAACGAATGATTTCACTAGTATATCGGTGATGGCGCTGCAGCATAACAGCAAAGGTCGATTGTTTTGCAGAACGCTTACTACACCTATGACATAATTTCTACGGCTATTGTATGGGTGTCATGTCAATTTAATTTTCATTTCAACTCAACTACCAAAGCGCTGTTTCAATGAGCATAATTTTGAATAAAAAAAATCGAGAAATTTGAAAAATAACGGTTCAAATATATCTTTACTGGTACTTTGTAGCGTTTTGCTGATGTCATCCAGATGGAACAGTATGCAATATACTGGGACAAAGGACACAAATAAGTCAAAACAAGGAGAGACTACCGTCACATTATTGTTTGTAATGCTGTATAAATATGCTTACCCATCTTAATATTTGACATCAGCTGCTAGAACGCGATCTTCATTACACCATCGCCGAATAAAAGCTTGCCCATTATTAACAACTGTTTTGATTGGCTGTTGTTGAGCCGGTGTAACGTCACGATTAAAGCTCGTCACCATCATGGTATTTCTTTTTGGAGGTACAAGTTACACAAGTTTATTCACATACAAACTAGTTTTGAAAATGCCGCTAAGTAACCCTACCGGGAAAAACCTGCAACAAGCACACAAAATACATTGAAACATTTACAAAACCATTTTTGTCCTGAAAGAACGGTTAACTTCCTTGCACAATAATTCAAATTTATCAAAGGCCAGTTTTAGTTTTTTCCTGAATTGGTGAATTTTGCACAAATATTTTCTTCATTCATCAAAGACCCATTTTATATTTATGTTCCGAAATAGTAAAACGGCCTCTCAAAAATTGTTCAAGTTTTCACCTCGCCTGACCACGTACGAACGTAATTCAGCGTACTTATAATGACTTTCCTAATCTGGCACCATTTTGGTTTGGCTGCCGCTATAGTAGCATTTACAACACATATGGCGACTCGCTGGATACTATCTTGAGGTATATTGGGTAACGAGCCCCCAAGAGATCTGGCCCACGTCGGAAACCTAACCACAACGATAGGAATATAGCCGGCCTAATCGCTGACTGTTTTCCTATTTCGTTACGTGATCAGAACACTCATGTATTGTGGGTCAAACGGGAGATGTCATACTAAGACTAAATGACAATGTCAATAGAAGGTTCAATTAATTCCTTTTCAATTTATTTTATCAAATCGTATACATTTTCGGATGGCAACGTTATAAAAACAATTAAACAATACTGTACTGCCCTAGTTACCCAGGGCAATGTAAGTACACTGAAAATATTGTTTTGATTTCGATAATTCAATTGTTAGGTTTTGACTTTCTGAAATTCGTCTTACAAATTTGATTGAAATAAAGCTTCGTCAAATAATCTAATAAAAACAAAGTTGAATTCACAAATATAGCGGTATAATAGCTTACGTCTTTCCTAGCGTGTAGCGTTCACAGTAATTACTCTCTTACCCTCCGCGCACTGAAGTGACAGCGACTAAGTACTGAAATACTCTTTTTTATTGCAACTTTGATTGTAAAAAGATGAATAGTAACAATATGTCTAACTGAATATATATTATATAAAGTTGTATCACGTAGATGAACACAGAAACATTATCAAACGAATAAATTCTTAATGAACTTTATATGTAACGACACCACTTTATCACGAAAGGCAAGATTATTATAATTTTGACACGCAAAAAAGATGGCGTCCACGATGCTTGAAAAAATAATTTTAAAGAGAACCAACATTGAAATACTTTATGTTCGCTTGGAATTTACTTTCGCTATTTTCGCTGAGGGATGATTCAATGAAAATAAAATGCGGTGAATCTACCTTTTTCCTATATTTTACATTCAACTCATCAGAAACCAGTGAAAATAAACTCCATACAAAACACTCAAGTATTTTACAGTACGGAAACTTGGCGTCTATAATAATATTGACCGGTTGTCGGGTAAACCGACGATCATATTTCTCATTCAATAAACCCGTATGTGAATAGCATTTATAAGTGCAAAGAATGACGTACATCCATATTGCCATGCGTGCATACATAATAGAAACTCTGAATGTTAATCAAACATTGTGGATGGTAAATAAGATTGAGTGTTTCTTTTACAGCGATGAAATGTACTTTTGCCCACATACACCGTGATACTTTTAATGCCAAAATCTGACGAGACAGGTATGATGTTACCATGGTTTCCGACTAATGCAGTATCCATTCGATTTATATATTTGAAATTCGTGTTCAATTGTAGATTGCGTGTATTGGCGCACGCGCATTATATTCAATAACAGACGATACATTGCGTATGCCTTAAGCCCACACCGTACCATGTACTGGTATTTGGAGCAATAGTACTCGAAACGACAAAAGAATATAAATATTTCTAAAAAGATGTCATAGTAACTTGGCAGGAATTTAATTAACCGACATAAACAAATAGTGAATTTAAACAGTTCGAGTTTACTTTGAGCTGTAGTATTATTATTTTAATACACTGCACGCCGAAGGCAGTATATTATCACAAACGACTTAAATTTCTAACACAATGTCTTAGCATTAAATGATTTGTGTTTCATTAATCTGCAGTATATTTACATAATGGGGGATTGATAAAGTGTTCGTGGAACTAGGCTGCATTAGAATCAATACCTCATATTATATGATAACTACCACACTTTATTATTAATGACGTACAAGTCGAGTATACTGTTACATATTACGCCGTTAAACGTGCTGACACGGCCAACCTATTTATCAACTGAACTAACATTTATTTCCTAAATGCAAACAACTCAATGGTATACATTATTTTAATTAGATTTGACAGTAGTTTTGTGATATTTTTCAAATGAGTTCGAAATCTACATACATAAAACTGAAGTGGCCCATCGGCGTACTGTACATTGCGATATCGCATTTCAGTGCTAGATATACAGCTGTTCGTGACGACGGCGTTTCCACCCACCGTATATAGTCAATACAACGGGCGACAGTTTGAGTGTACATGGAATACGTTCCTATGGGAAGACGCTTATTTGAACTGCAGAAACTAGATTATAAATGTGGACACAGTGGCGTGTCGGGCACGAGATCACCGAGGCGTAACTGCAATGTAAATATAATGAATAACTCACTTAATTCTCAGCTCATCTCACCAATTCACCCTCGGCCAGCAGACACCATGAAGACGGTCGGTTTTACCAACGCTACGCCTTTCCTCAACATCACCGAAAAAGTAATCGACGTGGAAGCTACGCAAGAATTACTGCGTCTGGTGGGTACATCGGTTATCGGGTGCTTGCTCACTTTCGTTATACTGGTCGGAAATTTAATCGTGCTCGTGGTTTTCCGGACAGACCGTCAACTTCGCCGCAAAAACTACTACTTTATATATAACTTGGCTATAGCTGATTTCATTGTCGGTTTGAACTCGGTACCTGGATATACCGCTTATCTTGCCATTGGTTATTGGCCGTTCGGGCGCATAGCATGTGATATTTGGCTGATCATAGACTACGTGGCGTGCGCTGTATCCTTATTTACTATTATTGTCATTACCGTTGACAGGTATATGTCTTTGTCTAATCCTATTGCACACGTGACTAATATGCCAAAATCTCGCGTTCTTACCTGGATCGTCACCACATGGGCCATAGCTATTGTATTATACGGATTACCTATATTCTTATGGCCCCGAATTCACGGGTTCTATGAATACGCACCAGAAACCTGCGTCATAGATTATCTCAGTCACACCTGGTTCACGTGGATCCAGACTGTTTTAGGATTCTGGCTACCAATGTCAGTGCTCGTAGTTCTATATATCCGCATATACATGTTTGCTAGTCACGTGACTTTGAGAAAAAGAAAATACCACGCGAAGTTTGTTGGTCACGCGAAGAAAAAAAGTTCGGAGTTGAAAGTGACAAGTATTTCTGATAAAGTCCACCAGTCCTATTTGTCATCACCCAGTGGATTGAAAGTGAATTTTTCTGAGACAGAACTGGAAATGTTTTTTGAGTCAAAAGGAGCGGTGAAGAAGCAGCACGACGAAGGTACAATATATGCCGAGGATAAAACGGATGATCTAAACTATCGTTGTATGTTGGGCACAGAGACAACACCATCATTTATGTATATTAATCAAGCTTTTCGCGACGACACATCGATACATCACTCAACAGCTGACCAGATATTGTCTTCAGGTACACTGATGAGCTCTCTAAAACACCGCGCGTCAACTCTAGGCTAACAAAGTCGATAACGTTGAACAAAGTGAACAAATAAAAACCCATGGACGGGGACAAGGTAGCGACAATGCTCTTGGATGATCAAACAACAGGAGAAGAGATCCTGGCCCGTATCAGTTATTTTTCAAGAGAAAACGACGAACATCGTCCTATCAAACGCACAAAACTACACATACGTGGAAGTGTGACTTATTATAACAGCCGATGCAATAACAACAATTCTAGATACAAAAGTTCAGTTGAAAAACGCTCCATTGAAATGAAAACTATGAACGGCATCTTAGGTGATAACCAGAAAATCGGGACAACTTGACAAGGAATTACCCAAATACAGAGGTCGTAGGAAAAATATTTCCATAAGAACAAATTCACTCAAAGCAAGAGTCAAGACTTCGGAACGCAATGAAACGAATATAAAATGTACACAAGTGTACAAGTCCAACAAGAAATCACCGACTAGCTCCTCGGACAATAAAGCGTTGAGTACAGTATCAAGCTTAGTATTAGCTCTAACACTCTGTTGTATGCCTTACCATATAGCCGCCATGGCGTCTAGTATATGCCCAACATGTGTCAGTCAAGATATTTTTAACGCCTTCTATTGGATTTACTACACAAATAGTGCATTGGATCCGTTATGCTATGCGTATTCATTAAAGCGTTTTCGGCTTGCATTGCAGCGCGTATTCATTCGATGCAAACCGACACAGCCGGCCATATATGGGAGCAACTGACGTATGACCCATTCGACCAATCAAGATTTTGGAAACCTTGTACGTTACTGGTTGTGTGACCATATATGGCAGTTATACGCACGTCACTACGCTTGGTATCCATATTAGAAACATGTTTGTCACATGACCGTGCGACATTTCGTCATGTTATTACAAAATGACAAACTTGACAAGGAAATGTTGCGTTGCGAATGTTGCCTTTATTTGCCAGGCCAAATTTAACCTTTAATGGATAGGACGACAAGTCGATATAATATCTAAATTGTAGACATTACCATGGATTTGTAATTATTAATTTAACGATTTCATTTTTATAAATATAATATAGGAATCGCTCTACGCACACACATTTTACGCATACTTAATTTACGGTAGTTTCTCTACTATTAAAGCAGATGACTATTTTTAATGACTTTCACAATATTCACAACAA